CTCAACACCTAAATGCAGTTTTACTTTGGTTGGTAGTGCAAGCAAAGAAGTAAATGTTCATATTCCACTCAACTATGAAAACGGAGTTTATGGTATGATTCCAATTATGAAGAAGATGAATCATTTAGAAACTTTTAACCAAAATGGTCAAAACCAATTCCAACGATCATAGTGATATTCATGCAACTATATTGAGAGCATGTATTGATCTCTACAATGGTAAATTTAGATGCATTGCATTTGGATATAACTCCATAAAGATGATGATAAGAGAATGATGGGTAAGCCTAGAGTACGTGTGGTCAAAGGAAAACTTGGTTGGTTCTCTAGTAAAAGGCCTTGCAATGGAAGATACCAGTAAGATGTCAAGGAGATTGGGGCAAGAATTCATAAAGTAATCGGGAACCCAACCTAGTCTTTTTTTACCCCAAATTTTATGCTGATTTGATAATAATAAGCTGCTTTTTTTTTTTGGCTAATTCAGTGGGGAAGATAGCCCCCTACCCATTTCTTTCAATAGATTGAAGAGTTACATTTTGAAAGTATTGGGTCAGCAGTAGGAATGGATACCGCGATGTGGTAACTAGGTGTGGGGATGCTAGCACTACAACCCCAGCCCCTTTCCTCATAATAAGTTGTTCATGTAGCTATTTAGCCACCAGACATGACAATTTTATTGTAAGTACTCATTCTAGAAAAATTCATACAAGGTATAAGTCAAACGATAACTTGTATACGAGTACATTAAGTTATGCACTTAATTATGTTTATAACTAACATCAGTTTGAGTGTTTTATATACAAGAGCTATATAAGTCTGGGGATTGTCTATAAAGAGACCATTTACCCTTTGTACAAGGAGATCACAATCACTCGATTCCCTTGAATTTCAAAATAGGTGGTTATAAAAGTATCATTGAATAGACACAAAGTTCAAAAAAAAAAAATTAGGGACTTCGTGACTCATTCAAAGCCATCCAATTTGACATCTAATGAGTGAGAACAGTTGTGACCTCCTTATAATAAAGGTAAATGGTTTCTTGGTAGACAATCCCATAAGTGTGGAAGTGAGTTAGTTCTTACGATATTGAACATCTTTAGAGCACCTATGAAATCAGAATACAAGAAAAAGGTTTATATTGTGGTATTTGTTGGATAAGATCATTGATTCAAAGTTATGCACTATCATGGAGCATGATAGACTTTGTAGTGCCATACATCAATTGAATGTTCAATGAGAAGATGCTTTCAGTATGTAAATAATATATAGATGCCTAATAATTTCATATTATTTTGAAATAAATAAATGAAATTGTTATATTTTTGCATTGAAAATACACTAAATGATATTTCATCCGACAATGGTAAATGAGGAAAAGAGACAGAAGTTTATATAGTGGTTCATTCAATTTATATGTGTTCTTGCAAGCAGGGGAAAAGAAGGTTTATCCGGAGCATACGACATGCATGCAGGCACGTGCATGTGCATGTGCATGTGCGTTGGCTCACGGGTGCTTAAGGTGCACTTTGCATGCTCGTATTGGTGTAGAGAAAATATAGTTTGCATGTACGTATAAGCGATATAATGCATACCGCCAGCGACTGTTGTTCTCACTGCTAGCAATTGTTTGGATGTCCGAATACCACAATTATGTGGCTTTCACTGATAATAATAATGAATGTGAAACACTGTAACTATTGAACATCTAGCAGCATGAAAGATTGTACTTGATGAACCATTTTGTGACCGCTCAAGTCAAGAATTAAAGAGTGATAACTCTTCATTTTTAGGTATCACACTGGGTGAAGTTGAAAGCATCTCTATTTGAATTTCACATTCACATGCACTATTATGCACATTCAGTTTTTTAGTCGATCTCTTCTCTTTAAAAAAAGCAACCTTGGTGCTATGAGGTTTTGCTATTCTTGTGCATTTGAATGGATATGAAAAATGTGAGGTCTTCTGTTTCTTTGCATACCATTGTTTGCCTTGAAGATGTTTATGCATACTAATTTTCAGTAGGTGCAAATATTGTCAGGAGAAAGTGATTACTTGTGCCCAAAAACATGAAGGTTTGGTGTATACAAAGAATTTTTTTAATACACTTATGGCACCCGTCTCGACCACATATTTTCAACAGTACGATGCCTTAATTTGATGTTATACATGGAAGTATAAACCCAACGGGTTGATTTTTTGGCAAGTAAAGAGTGAGAAAAACACAACCAATAACAAGAAAAATTCAAGCAAAAAAAGAAAAACACAATATACTTTGTTTTTACATGATATACCTGGTTATTCACTAAATGTATTGTGCTTTGACTGTCACAATAGACAATAGCCCCATCTTATTGTAGGGTCAAATGACTTCTTTTAATACCTAATTAACAACTATGTAATCTACTTCAGTTGTGAACAAGGCAACTGTGGTTTGTAGCATCGATTTCCAACTAAATGGAGTTTTTGCAAGTATAAACACAAATCTTCTACAGTTCAAATCACCTACAATATCACATCAATATGTACAATAACATTATCATTAAACTTGCTACTATTGTCAAACACCAAATCCATATCTGATTTACCCCATAAGTAACGTAGAATCCCTTATGTCGTATGTCAATGCTCCTTTCTTGGATTAGCTATATACATGCTAATAATACTAACAGTATAAGAAATATTGTGACAAGTACAAACCATTGCATGCATGAAACTTCCAACTGCACTCGCATAAGGAACATCCGACGTGTAAATATGTCCTAAGAGGATTACTCCATGGACTTAAATTTTCGATCTTGAATCTACTGAAGACCTTCTTAATATATTGCCATAGTTTTCCCAAGTAGCTCTATATATCTCCATACCCAAAATTTTCAAAACTTTAAGGACTCTCGGTCTATAATTGGTGGGTTTTGTATTGTGGGGAAGGAAATTTGGGAAGTACTAAATTAATTAGAGGAAATGGTAACCTTGATGCAAGTATTTATAAAATATATTAATTGGTGCTTTATGAGAGAATGAGGATATACTAAATACTCTGCGGATTTTGGGGGAAAAGAAAAAGGTGAAAAGAAATGTTGTCCCTAATGCTTGCATTTGGAAGTCCTTATTCATAGGCTGGACAGAAAACTTATGAGAAAAAGTAAAATCATGCACACTTTAGAAAGTAGAGAGAAGGTTTTACAGCCCTGCAAATTTTGCTGACATTCCTGCGTTTTTTTTTTTTTTTTTTTTAAATATTGTATTACCTTCAAATTTAAGTTGTCATGAAACAGTATATAAGGAGGGAAAATAAAATTAGGTTGGCAACCTATTGAGGTTAGCAGAGGGAAATGATACATCAAGAAACATGACACAAATCTACTACTCTCTATATTTTCTGCATGAAGCCCTCCAAATGGAGATGAAACACTTTTAGGACATGACACCGCAAAAACTGGCTCGGATAAAATGCACCATAATGCTAAGGACAATGGAAACAGAATTTCATTTATGATTATCACAGTATATTGAAACTATGGATGGACAGAATATTGTAGGCATTATGAGTAATCTACTAAAATGCCAAGAGAGAGTGAGAGAGAGAGAGAGAGAGATTTGAATGACTCGACCAAAAATTTCAAGGCATAGCTTACACAGTCTTGCTCTTAATTTTCTGGCTTACAACCTTAATGATTTCACACTGAGCTTTGATTACCCATTTTAAATGTTGACCGCTGAGGTGATTGACATTGCTTTCTTATATGAAAGAATGAATAGAATCCCCTCCCTCTCCCTTGTAATCTCTCACTGTAAAACACACACTTGTAACCTCTCTCTATATCGAGAGAGAGAGAGAGAGAGAGAGAGAGAGAGAGAGAGAGAGAGAGAGAGAGTATATAATAATAACACACACGTCGTACGTACGACCGGTAACCGGACCGGTACGGTACGTACACTAAACGTAGAACGTACGTAACGAACGTAACG